AATTAATTAATGGTCTATAATTATCAAATAATAGAGTTTGTGAACATCATCTCAATATTTGATTACATAGTCAATAATTAAATTATAGAGATGCGCACAAAATATAAATTAGATATTTAGTGCGAATTACTGATACAACGTCTGTATAATGATTACATAGTTAACAATAATCTATCTATCTTTAGGTGCATCAACAATGAGGGCCTCGTTGTGATCAAGCCGTACGTAAGCAGGTTCATCACCCTCTTCAAGGATAGGTAGGGGTACGTTCGCCCTGAATGGAGGCATTTCCTGATAGCCCATGTAGTCTTCTTCGTCCGTCACTCCATCGACACCAACAATCTTCCTTTTTCCTTCTAGGACTACTTTTAGCCTTCCTTTTGTCTTGTTGTCCCTTGCATAGAAGACTTGCATAACATCTCTTTCAAGGTCGAAGGGGTCGTCTCTGTATGCGGTCTTAGTGAGATCAACGGTAGTGAACCCTTCGCTGTCAATGTTGATTTCCTCGAGCCGGACCCACTGGCAGCAAAAAAGAGCTGCCTTCAATGGACCGTAGGCTAGCTCCCATATCTCCTCTATGAAACCATAGTATGTCGCCTGCACGTTGCCGTTTTCGTTGTGAGCATCAAAATGAACACCACAATTTTGGTATGTGCTCTTTCCATCTTGCTTTTTTGTGTAAAATGTGAATCCATTGATCTCATACCCTTGGTACTTAAGATATGTACTTGAAGGTCCCTTGGCTAAGGCATCCAGTTGATTACCCAACTTTATTCCAAGCAAGCGATGTCGCAACCGGTTGACAAATTCCTCCTCATGTTTTTTATCCAGACAAGCCTGTGACCTGCTCGGATACAGAGTTTGCAGTGATTGCCTATGCTCGTCAATGTATGGTATCACACCCTCAGCTTGCTGTAGAATAGCGAACTGTGCCTGTCTAAAATAAATAGGGTCATCTACTGTAACAGATTTCTCCTCGATCGTTCCTTTGCCACGTAGTCTTCCCTCGTGAGGAGATTCTGGAACTCCGACCCTTTTGATGTCCAGATAATATGTGCAGAACTCAATGGCCTCCTCCATTGACCATCCTTCAACCATGCCCCCTTCTGGCCTCAATCTGTTCCTAATATACCTCCTAAAAACTTTCATCAATCTTTCAAAAGGAAACATCTGATGTAGGTACATTGGGCCAAGGGCTCTAATTTGGTTAACAAGATGAATGAGCAGATGCAATGAGATATCAAAGTAAGTCAGCGGGAAATGCATCTCAAGCCTAACAAGAGTTTCGGCTTTGTCTCGCTACAGCTGCTCTAGCGTGGACACATCAATGACCTTTTTTAAGATCGTGTTAAAGAACGAGCAAAGCTTTATGATTGGGGCGTGGACCTTTGGGGGGAGGATACCACGCAGGGCAACAGGGAGCAGCTGAGTCATAATGACATGACAGTCATGGGCCTTCATAGGGCCATAGTTGAACTTGAGTTCTCTCATGTTCAGTAGCCTCTTCGGGTTCGCACAGTAGCCCGTCGGGACTTTGAGTTCATTGAAGAAAGAAATAAGCGCACGCTTTTCTTCCTTCTTCAATGTCCATGACGCAACCGGAAGTTCAAACTGGCCATTCTCTAGCTCCACGGGATGCAACTCCTTGATTCCCAAGAGTTGCATGTATAGGCGTGTGGCTAGTGAATCCTTCGATGTCCCCCCGGTGTCCATCAAGGTGTTAAGAGTGTTAGCGCACACGTTTTTAGTGATGTGCATGGGATCAAGACAGTGGCATACACTCAGAAATGACCAGTAAGGTAGTTTCCAGAAAACTGATTTTTTCTTCCAAACGCTTCCATCAGGCGCTGCTACTACATTGTCCCCCTTCCCAAGGACAACCTCCAGTTTGTTGAGTTCTCGAAGTATCGCAGGCCCATCTCGATATTTTGGAGCTAAGCGTTTCTCAATAGTACCGTTGAAATCTTTTCTGTTCCTATGGTAAGAGTGATCCTTAGGTAGGAACCTACGATGTCCCATATAAACAATCTTTGAGTTATTTGGCAGATTTACTGCATCGGTGTCGTCCAAGCACTCGACACATCCAGTATAGCCTTTTGTCTTCTCTCTGGACAACGAACCTCGACCTGATAGGTCGATGATTGTAGCGATAAGTACTCCCTTGATCGTGACATATTCCTTTTTGTACTCGTCCCAAACATCCGACACACCCTTTTTAAACATCTCCACTAGTTCATCGATCACTGGTTCCAAAAACACATCGATGTCATTCCCAGGTTGTCTTGGCCCTTGGATCAGTAGTGGCATCTGGATGTACGACCGCTTCATATAGACCTAAGGTGGAATGTTGCATATACAAAGCGTCACTGGCCAGGTGCTATGATTGCTTCTAACCTAGTCGAAAGGATTCATCCCATCTGTGCTCAAAGCAAACTATAGGTGCCTTACCTCTCCACCGATGTCCTTATAGAACATAGTATTGACAGTCCTCCAGTCATGCCCATCGGCGGGGTGCCTCATCATTGTATCTTTTTTACGCTCTTCGCCATGCCAGCGCAACAGCTTGGCTGACTTTGCACATGCAAACAACCTATGCACCCGGGGAGCTATAGAGAAATACCAAACGACCTTTACGGGACCTCCTCTGGTCTTGGTACCCTCATCTGACGGCTGTTCCTTATACCGTGGAGCTTCACACTTGGGGCACTTGTCCAAGTCTTTGTATTTTTCTCCATGGTACAATATGCAATCATTGGAACACGCATGGATTTTTTCAACCTCGAGGCCGATGAGGCAAATCATTTTCTTGGCCAAGTATGTCTTTTCTGGCAACTCGTTTTTTCTGGGAGCATTTTTCTTATTATACCTAATAACTGATCGAAGCCTTTATCGCTCAATCCGTTTATCGATTTGAACTCTAACAGCATGATGTCGGCTTCCAGTTTGCTCATTGGACAATTCCTATACAATAGTGTTTTGCCATCTTATCTCATTTTCTCTAGCTTTCTCAGCTATCTTTAACTAAGACATCCGGTCTCTACATTACGTAGCAGCTGAGAAATGCCATCGTTATCCTCGATGTAGTCAGCCAGTGTGTTCCTAAACATATTATTAACTATGGCCATAGGTTCCGTATTGACACCGGGTTCCTCGTCAGCATCGTGGATGGCTACGTCAGGCATGTCCACATCATCATCGTTTTCCTGCAGAACATTCACACCAATCTCACCATGCATAGTCCATATCGTATAGTTTGGCATGAACCCTCCGATAATCAAGTGCGATCGTATAGACTCAATTTGACAAAAGTTCCTTTGATTCTTGCAATCTTTGCATGGGTAGAAGACATGGTTCCTATTTCCAGCATGGGCTTTGGCATCGGTGATAAACTGGCTGACGCCATGCATGTACCGCTTGTCCGTTCGGGACAGATGCATCCACTCTCGATCCATCTCTGCACAAAAAAATACTGAGACAGTAATTACAAAGAATTAATAAGAAATCGAGCTTCATGAACAACAATTATAGCTTGAAAGTACCATTTTTGGAAAACATTATTGTACACTAATTATTGAAAAATTAAAATTGGTAGCCCCGACCCTGTAAATTGAAAATCGTAGTAAAAAACAATTATTGTACAATACTGAAGAACATCTATTCTACTTTACTTCTAAGAACTAATTATAGCATCACATACTAACAATAATGATCTTGACCACCATGAAATAATTAGCTAGGAATTTAAATGTGTTCATAGACACCAACCTTTTGGATGATGGATTCACCATAATTTGAGCCTTGCACAAATGTCCAATTAGAAAAATGTTCTCTAGAATGAAGAAAGAACTAGAATGAGAATTAAGCAATATAGCCATTAAAACGAAGCTAATTAAGCAATAAAATCAAATAAGTGGATGTTTGTTACTAACCTTAAAGAAAAAGATCAAGCCATTCTTCAAAATCCAAGCCCTAGCTTCATGGTGAAGAGCAGACGCAATAATAGAGGAAAGGGCCCAAACGTGCGCCTCTGTTCTCGGGATGGAAGAGAGGAGGAAGAAGAGGACGGCTGCAGCTTTTTTGTGCTGTAGATTTATCACCGTCGGTTGTTAGCTAGAACCGACAGTGATAGATCTAAATTATTGTCGGCTCTTGGCTTAAACCGGTAGTGATGAGTGGTCGTCAAAACACTGTCGGTTCAAGCCACAAACCGGTAGTGATGTGATCTTTCACTGTCGGTTTTAGCCTAGCCTCAATTATTATTTTTATTTTCAAGCTGGTTGTCACAAAGCCAGCAGTGATGAGGACGGTAGTGATGTCCAAATCTGACGTAGTGGCACATATATGTAAGCATACAATAATGCTCTGGTTGGTCAAGTTTTACATCAATCACATACACCCACTATACTGTATGTAAAGTGGAATCAATTATATGTCCACAACTGTACTATAAAGTAGCTAGGACCTTGTTTAGATTGTAAGTTTTTTCACTCTCTCTCCATCACATCAAATCTTTGGACACATGTATGGAGTATTAAATGTAGATAAAAAATAACTAATTACACAGTTTGATTGTAAATTACGAGACGAATCTTTTGAGCCTAGTTAGGCCATAATTAGACAATAATTATTAAATACAAACGAAAATGCTACAGTGCTAAATACTGATTCCTAACCGCAATCTAAACAAGACCTAGAATACAATAATGCTCTGGTTGCTAAGTTTCACATCAATCACGTACACCCACTATACTTAATGTAAAGCACTATACTTAATGTAAAGTAGAATCAATTATATGTCCACCTACTGTACCATAAAGTAGATAGAATCAAATTAAATGTCGTTTACTTATATGTCTACTGGCGGGTTAGCCATCAACGTCTCAACGATCTATATATCTCTTAACTTTATTTGGCTACTCGTCGCCACAGCATTTTTCTGTCCCCATTTCGATCTAACTAGACGAAGCGATGAAGCCCTTGCCGTTAGCCACTTCGTCCCCATGATGCAGCTGGCCGACGTCCTCCTGGACGCTGGGTATGCAGTCGTGGTGGCGCTTATCGACCCTGCGGATAAAGAAGACGTCGCCTTCGCTGCCGTCGTCCGCCGCGTCGCAGCATCGAAGCCTCTCGTCGCCTTCCACAAGCTGCCGCGGATCGAGGACCCTCCCACCGTCATCCATGACGCGCAGTTTATCCTCAGGTACCTCGACCTCGTGAGCCGCTATGACAAGCTCCTCCACGGCTTCCTCTGCGCCATGCCTCTTGGCAGTGTCCAAGCCGTGGTCGTGGACGCGTTTTCCAGCGGGGCGCTTGACGTCGCCAAGAAGCTCGGCATCCCGGCGTACTCCTTCTACGCCACGAATGCCTCTACGGTCGCCGTCTTCCTCCAGCTTCCTACGATTTGCAGGGAGGATCAACCAAGCTTCAGGGAGCTAGGAGACACCCCTCTCAACTTCCATGGAGTCCCACCCATGCCGGCGTCTCACCTTGTCGAGGAGGTACTCCGGGATCCGGAGAGCGAGGTATACAAGGTGATGATAGACGGGTTTCGCAGGATCCCGGAAGCAGTAGACGGCATCCTGGTGAACACGTTCACGTCATTGGAAACTCGGGCGGTGGAAGCTCTCGGGGACCTGAGGCTGCGGCATCTCCCGGCAATGCCGCCGGTGTACTATGTGGGGCCCCTGCTCGCCGGAGCTGGCAAGGAAAAAGAAAAGCATGAGTGCCTCTCGTGGCTCGACGAGCAACCGGAGCGCAGCGTCGTCTACCTCTGCTTCGGAAGCATTGGCACCGGCAACCACTCCAGGGAGCAGCTGAATGAAATCGCTGTCGGCCTGGAGAATTCGGGCCACCGGTTCCTGTGGGTGGTGCGAGCTCCTCCAAGCGACGACCCCGAGCGGCCGTCCGACCACCGCACCGACCCAGACCTCGACGAGCTCCTGCCGGATGGGTTCTTGGACCGAATAAACGGCCGCGGCCTCATCCTCAAGCTGTGGGCGCCACAGGTGGAGGTGCTCCACCATAAAGCAACAGGCGCGTTCGTGACGCATTGTGGGTGGAACTCTGTGCTGGAAGGCATTAGAGCGTGTGTGCCTATGCTCTGTTGGCCATTATATGCGGATTAGAAGATGAACAAGGTGTTCATGGTGGAGGAGGCCGGGATTGGAGTGGAGGTCGCAGGATGGCAGCAAGGGCTTGTCAAGGCGGGGGAGGTGGAGGCTAAGGTGAGGATGGTGCTGGAGTCCGAGGAAGGGGAGCGGCTCAGGGCGCAGGTGACGGCGCTCAGCAAGGCGGCAGCTGCGGCATGGGAAGACGGTGGTTCGTCGCGCGTTGCGTTCCAAAGGTTCATATCAGATGCCGAGAAGCTCAAGGCTCAAGCGATGCGTGCGTAGGTTGGATGAAAAATGACTTCTAAAATAATATAATGTCCGAGCAGTCTTTCTTCTGTGAATTAAGAGATCGCTCTTATGGAATTTTAGCTTATTTCTGGTCTCGTGTGTGGCTGTTGTATGCTATTCAAAGATATGTTGTCTATAATATTTTGTTTTTGTGCAAACAAAATAGACAAATTTGTACAAGAAATTGTCTGTCATTCTTATAAGTACACAATTAGTTTTTTTTTGCTAACGATCAAAAACGTTCAGGGCAAGTTTAAAAAACCGCTACCATTCCCTCGATCGTAAAAAAAATTGGCGCGTACCACCTCCCACCACCAAATTGCATCACTTGTGGCTATACGTGTGATACAGTCCTTTTGTAAACATGTATGAATCTTGTCATCAATATTTTAACTTGTAGTAAACAATTTTAAATGAAAAAATTTTCAACTACAAAGTTTTAGATCTCATCGATAATTACAACTTTGGTATAGAGCATGTCTTTATCCAAGGTCATTTCAAAAATTCAAGAATTTGAAATTCAAAATCTAAAAACTTAATTCATGTATCTACAACCCTAAGCGATCTCAAATAAAAATTTTATCAACTATAAAGTTTTAGATCTTGTCGATCTATATAATTTTGATATAAATTTTATCTTCGTCCAACTTCATTTGAAAAGATATGAATTTATTTGTACCACAACCCGTTTTAAGGATGGATGACTTAGTCAACCGCTCTTGAAAATCGATTTCTAGAAACGTGGACTTAACAAACCGCTCCTAGAAATCACCAATTGTCAAAGACGGTTGACATAAGCAACCTGTCGACACAGAATTTTCGTCCCATGCCGAGTACACACGTAGCAAGTCGGAAGGGTCCGCTCGATGGAGCAGATCCGTCTAGCTTCAGCGCAGGGATGGTCGATCCTGCGCAATTCTCCCGAGACGTGCCAGTCAATTTGACCCTGCAATTGACAAGGAGAGAAAGTTCATTAGTAATTAAGGGTGGAACTTGCCGGTGTTGCCAGACAATCCCGAATGTGCAGCTATGAGAGCCGATATGAAAGGAGATCGACTAAATAGTCGATTCCAACATATTCATGAGAATAAATCAGTTAAAGCTCATGGGATTATGTAAGAAGAATCGGTTATCATTTAGGATAAACATCATTGTTTGAGCACATATGAATCAATGGCAATAAGATATCAACGATGATTGGTTTATGTCAAGCGAATGATTACAAGTAACCGAACCCCTTTTTATGTAGAGAAATAATTTAACACCACTCAACCATTTAATAAAGATAAATCTAATGAACATGTTATATCTCATCTATCACCATTACTAGTGGGGCATGAGGCAGAATCATGCAGGCCGTAGAAGTAACAATAGACTCGACGACCCTAACTCATTACTAATATCAGTGGGGCATGAGGCAGAATCATGCAGGCCGTAATACAATAATAAGATCATGGGGCTAACATATCTTTCATCCTATCTTTACTTCAACGGTCTCGTGATGTGAACTATTCGTGAAAGCGCTCGATATCGGCTAAAACAGACGATTTAGGCATAACACACAGTTAAAGTCATGCCTTACTAGTAATAGATCTACTGAATAACGATCCTCACTCCGCGGTGCTAACAGTGGGGTGTGAGGCAGAATCACACAGGCCGTGATAACGGGCCATGGAACGGTTCTCGCTAGCCAATAGATCTACTCGAGATGCAACATGCCTTAACCACACGTTATGCACGATTAAGATTGATGTAAAACAGCCGATAAAACATAACTCATCATTTAAGGTGTAGATTAGATCAGTTTTAGGTTAACAAACGATGGGTCAAATAAGATATAAGGTCGATCTAAATCAATCTCAATTGGGCAGAGTGATATTGCTGTAATTAGATAAATAATGAAAGCAATAAGCAATATTGGTAACTTAATGAATCTACCAAAGACTGTCATTCAAAGGTAGAGCCGATAACTTGACCCTGATCTAATTCAAGCATTGGGGTGTGAGGCAGAATCACACAGGCCATACTTGAATTAAATAAGAGTCGATAACTAGCTTATACCAGAGCCGCAGTGGGGGTCGACCGGATAGATACAGCCATACGGACAGAGGTATAAACCATTACGGTACTTACAGACAAGCAGTAGAGGTCAACCGGATCGATGCAGCCGTACTCACAGAAGAACTCGCCGAGATCTACTCTACTTCTACTCCTAAGGGGTGGCCGGAGCCGAAAAAAGTAATTGACTTGTATTTGAATTGATTGATTCCTTTTTACAATAGCCGGGGTTTGATACTTATACCCAGAGTCTAAACATGAATCCTACTCGAGCACGATTCGTTACAATTTTTGGTATAAACGAAAATATTCCTAATTTAAGATAACTTGGACTCTAATCTTTCTCTTTTTGCAGAGTCCGATATGTAGTTTCCTGGCGCCAACCGTAGTTCATCATCGCTATCCGCTGACGTCATCCCAAGAGACCCGATCCCAGAGTCGTATCTGAATCGGCTGACATCGATCCTCCTTGATTGGCACAATCTTGGAAGCTCGCGAGTTCCTGTGTTCTTTCTCCCAAATTTTGGTGTAAACACATGCCCCCCAATTTTGGGATAAAATGGTTTTATTCCAAAATTCCAGCTTATTAGTTTACCGCGCCGTAACCACTTTATCCCGAGATATACGCATAACTCCTAACTTCCCGGCCTGAGTCTCTTATAACATCTCAATAGTACCCCTTTCGACGCACTCGGCCTTTTCGCTTTCTCCTCTTTTCTTGAGCCAACTCCAATAGTCGACGTCGTCATTACCAAGGCCTCAAACCCTAGCAAATCCGCCATTCTATCGAACCGTTATTCAAGCTATCTTCATTAGATCTGAACCTGCTCCGGCTGTGATGGCGACCAACGACCACGTTCCTGAGGTATGTTTCCAAGTTTCCATTCTCCAAGAGTCAGCCATTACTCCGTATTTCTTCTCTTCTTGAATTTATTTTATCCGATCTATAGGAAATAAGGAACGAGATCTTGATTCCATCAGCTGCCATTCCTAATGTTTATTTTCTCAGGCCTATGGGTGATCCTGATCCATCTGATTTTATCCGCCAAGAAACCAACCAGATCTCCTTTAAATAGTCTGTAGTGGATTCATCTTCCAGGAACAAAACTCCCTTTAGAAATTGGCCTAAAGTGCCTAAGGTATGGAGAGATTGGTTTCGTAGGGTATCTGTGAAAAAAGGCGGAGACTGGGAGCTTTATGATCTGAACCAGTGTCTGACCCTTTCGTTGTCTGAAATGGAGAGGAATGATTCACTCTTGATCTCTGCTTCTTATTTCTGGTCTAATGCTATGAATGCTTTTATTTTTGGCCATGTCCCAATGACCATTACTTTGGCCGATGTATATATGTTGACCGGCCTTAAAATTACTGGATCAGTGCAACCCTATGAGTACTTGAGTGCTGGCTCCAAGAGATTGGCCAAGATAGTAGTCTGCACCGGATGGGCAAGTTATATTCGAATCATGTCAAAGACGAATCACCTGTCAGCGAACGAGAATATGTGGCTTTTCTGAATATGTGGCTGGAGAGATTCATCTTTTGTGGGACATCTTGTGGTCCGACTTACAATCACAAACTCATGGCGGAGCACCTAGCGTTAGGCAAGGATATCCCTCTTAGAAAGTATCTGCTAGGAGCTGTTTATCATCTGATGTACCAAGTGGTTGCCCAATTACTGAAGAATGAACCAATACAGACTATCAGCGGCCCCTGGTGGCTGATACAATTGTGGCTCAATTTGTACATACACAAGATGGTGAGGCCTGATCTCAGAGACCTGAGCTTTCCCTCCTCCAATTTCAATGAGGAATATAGAGGCGACGAGGGAAGAGCTCGACAGTGTATGAATTATGGCGAGGCTGCATCGGCCATAATAATTGATTCCGACGTTGGCCACCTCTTCAAAAAGTTTTACAGAGGGTTTGATGCAGACGTCCTGACTTGGCTTCCTTATAGTGAGGATGATGAACTGACTTTTCCCTTCAAATTCTGATTTGAGTCCGGCTGTTCAGATGAGACAGCGGCTACGATCTTCAATTCCTTTATTAAGCCATGTGTTCTCCCAGCCGAATTTCATCACGATCGTGGTAAAATGGTCAAAGGTTCCTCCATTCCAGGCAATCCTCCAACCTATGAGTTTTACAACCTTCTTTCGTGGCCCACCAATTTGGCCTCGGTCAACTTCCCCATCGCTTGTTCTTCAAGAACATCTTGAAGCCGAGAGAGGATATTAGTGATGTGCTAGAAGCTTCCAGAGCCTTTCAATTGGGATCAGACCTTCCTTCCTTTTCCTTGCATGACTGGGTCAGAGCCAGTTTTTCTTCCAAACTTTTTGACTCCTGGTGGCAAGAATGGCGTTCCCATCTCTTCCGTGGGCCAATCCATCCTCCGTGTATAGCTTTGGATGAGGAATTTGCTTCTGACAGTGAGGTAATCTTTCATCCCTTTTTAGAGAGATTACTTGGTGAATTCTCTTGCCAACCGTTCTAACCGATCTTTTCAGGATATCGAATTCGATCCTCCAAGCTTGGACAGGAGAGGGCATCCTATAGATTACCAACCATCATGCCCAGTTGCAAGGATGGGATCAACCGCACCTTCATTGAAGAAGTTAATGAGAGCCCCTGCCGCTCCCACAATCGTGACACGGCAATCCCCAAAGTGCAAGGCGGTCCCAGGGGTAACTCAGAAGGCTACTACTAGAAAGAGACTCCATATGACAAGGCCATCAGCTGCTCAGGTGAACGATTCATGCTTTCCTCAAACTGATGTTCAGCTTTCTGATCCCATTTTCTCACAGTTATCGAGCATTGCATCCCAGTCTGCTTTGGGTGCGGGACTACTACCTCAAGCACTTGATTCATCACCAACCAAACCTTCGTCAGCCAATTCTCAACAGGAGCCGATTTTGGTGGAAGTAACCAATTCTTCCGCAA